GTCACGCTAATGATCTTGATTTATTGCCTCCGACAGTGAGCTGAAAAGAGGGAAACAAGAGCAGATTGTCACCATTTACAACCTGCATTCAGGCCTTATCTCTGTGCTTTCTGGTTGTTGAGTGAACTCTAGTATGCATCATCCCAGATGTTTCCAACTCCCAAACTTCTGCTTGGTGTCTTTGTATGTTGCATAATCATTGTCTCTTACTCATAACACTCTCTAAGAAGACCTTGTGATAATTTGTGGGTGTATTGCCTTAAAGTGCAGGGGTGGGGGGGTGGGAGGGTGGTAATGATAAGATACCAGTACAGCTGGTAAACCAAATAAGGGCTCAGTTGAAACCAAGCTAAAAGTGGGGAAAAAACACAATGTGGCAACAGGAAGCATGAAAAAGAATACACCTCCCACGTCTTTCTGTCTTCCACCTCACTGCACAGCCAGGTCTTACCTCAAATCCAGTCCCTAATGCTACAATTGCACAAATGTGGCTTGATTTCCCCCTCTGTTTTATTTTTCTTTTCTTGCTACACTCTGCAATCCATGCGCATGATCCATGTCTGGATGCCGTAATTAGAGCAGGCTGATACAGTCAGAGGACACAGCGTCCCCCTCACGCTCAAGTTCCTTCCACCTGGACAGATATTTTTAGCCCACCTTGAATGAGGGAGAACAGGAATCAACATGGTAACATGGCAGTTTGGCTGCATGCCTGTGACTCAATCATTGTCCACTGCAGACCGCAACAGGGGAATCACGGTATTCTACTTATAGGCAGTCTCCTCTGTCCTTTTGCCCTTTTGTATGGTGTTAGCAGAGACAAGAGCTTGTCCAGCAGCACTGGTGAGCCACATGTCTGTATCTCATAGAGACTGGTGCTGTTAGGTGAATTAAGTTTAACTGTCATTTCTAGGCCTAGGCAATATGTCTATATATTTTTAAAGATATGTGGATATATTTTAAGATCCAATACAGAAAAAGACAAAAATAATATTTAAAAAATGACAGTTTGCTTCTATCGATTTGACCTAAACTTCACCCTGCACCGACTGTCTACCTTACCCAACTTTCCTCACCCACACCTGACACTGAGATGCAACACAATGAACAAGCAATTTACAGAAGGAAAACATCAGATGCTAGAAAGAAGACTTGAAACTTTTTTTTGTTGATGGTTGATGTCCTTAGGGTGAGATAAACCACTGGTTTTCAAAGTGGGAGCTGCAGCCCCCTGCCACTAGGAGGCACTAGAGGGGGCTCAGAAAATTGGGGGCCAGGGGGAATGTACAGTGTGCGATTTAATTTCAGTAAATTTGTGTTTGATATTGGCTTGTTTAGCATTTAATGCTTGGTCTTTCATTTACGTGTGGATTGTTTTTCATTTATATGACCACTTTATTCCAAATAAATTTGGCACTCCAATCATCAGTCATTCCTCTCTTTAACAACAGATGATGTAGTAAAATGCAAAAAGCACTGTGTTCCTGTCGTACAAACAGGAATAAACATGGTTTGCTCTTTTTCAAGTACTGTATAAATGCACATCTTCAGAGGCGGTAAGCTTTCATCTTTTCTCCTCTTTTGCATATCATCCAAAGTGTAATACATCGACGTTTTATTCAACAGATGCATACCTCGTAGGCAGCCGGTGAAAAAAACCCACTGAGTTTTCCCTCATAAGTCCTGACCCCGGCAAAGCCCTGCCACACTACATCTCTGAACAGCTTATCTTCAAGCGCTGCAATTTCTCGCCTCAGGAAGCACACAAGCATTCTCCTTCATAATAAATCAGGAGTTTGTGTTCACATTTTAATAGCCTACACTCATAGCAGAAAATAAAAACAGCCTCATCAGATCCACTCCGACGGGGGCTTTGCTCCAACTTGTTGACCTCCTTTAGACATCTCACTGGTATGCCAGAGGAAGGCCTGCTCACGGCCAGTGAACAGGCCATATATTATCAGGGTAATTACCTTTGGAGCATAGATGCCTTCCTAATACCTCTCCATTAACTTCATGGGTACACTCACTCAATCTCAGCTGTGTGCTTTGTCTCTGCCGCGTCATACCTCACAGGTCACAGCCATGAATCCAACAATGATGCACACAATAGAACATTGTCTGGCCAGTTAAGGTAGTGACGGCAGTTAAAGTCAGCTGGCAGGACTTGTGAATGATGCAATGGCTTTCGAGGCGCTTATGGCCATCTGTGTTAAGCTGTAAAGATAGGCTATGCTGCCACAAGAATGCATGTTTGAAAAAGATCTATCCTCTAATTAGGCAACAGTGAATCCGGAAAAGGAAAAAATTAAAGGAAGACAGCATTGTGTTTGTTTCCTCTGCTGGTGACTGTTGGCAGGTCAACAGAAGAGTCAGCACAAAGCCAGGTGTGCAACAGCTGTGTCTGTGGAGGTTAAAACCATCAAACACCACCTGCTGTGTTTATGTTTTGGTCAACTACCAGGAGTTAAAAAGGACTAAATATTTCACACCATGTTCATGTCTGAGCAGTGGTTGACAATATGCTACTACTAGCAGTTCAAATGCCATGGTGCTGTCCCTATCTGTAAGTTTCTTATTTGAAAGAACACATTGACTGCTGTGTGGATGTCTCTGTTACCAGCTATTGTTCAGTGTAAAGTTTCAGGTCAGTTTAACACCAGTGTTTTCTATAAGTGAATTTTAATGAGGAAACACCACAGCATGAGCCAAGCGGCGGCTAGTTTAAATTGTATTGTATGCAATAGGAACATTGTGTTACCATGAGATTCCAAAGCAAAATGTGTACATGTACTAATGTCTGGACAACCTTCATTCAATATATGTAAAACAGTCAGCTATATTTCCATAAAATGTCAGTTGGAGTGACCCGCCCTCTGTCTACTTGACCCCGGTGACATCAGTATTCAGAGGCCACAACTACCTCAGTGCTTTTTCATTCTAAAACCATGACTTCATCCACTGTAACCCTTTTAGCTCCATGACAAACAAAAATCTTCCATCCACTCAAACACAATTAAACAACGATATCACATTACCATTCTCATAAACTGTGTGTGTGTGTGTGTGTGTGTGTCTACTGTGTAAACACTGCACTGACTGTCTCTAATGCAGTTGTTTGCTTAGTTACAGAAAGTGCTACAAACTGTAAGAGTTTGAACAACGACTTTTGTGAGCTAAACATACAATTTAAATAAAACAAGATAAAAAAACACTTGGTCAGTTGTTGGTTTTTTTTTAATGTCCAGATCTCTGTGGTGATGTCGGTATAGTCAAAGGTGTTTATGAACACTTTATGAAGTGGGTATAATCGGATTGTTCTTAGTTTCTGTCCTGGAAAAAAAAGCAAATATTTGGACATTTCTGAGTCTTTATGCTTGGTTTGTCTTCACAACAGGCCACAAAAGCAGCTAATCTAACAGTACTTTATCTCTGTGTTGACTCAGAGGAGGAACTACTTAGTGATGCGGTGTGAAACCCATAAGATGAGCAAACACCTCCATGCTCCCTGAGTGACCACCCAAACATATTGTTTGTATGCCAACAGAGCAGCTGTCAGCTTTCCGTACACGGTGTACCAAAGCATGCCAAAATATTGATGATCAGAGCTGAGGTTGTGAGACACACGCATGTCTAGTTTTCTTTTCACCGCTGTCTGAGATTATGCTGCGATGTTGTCTTCATAACTTCACAACAAAAGTGTTTGTGTGTTTTTGTGTGTGTGGTCTGGGAGGACGCTAAGTGTCAACATTTGCATCAGCTCAGAGACAGCTAAGTACACTAAAGCTGTAAAAAATAACACATTAAGTCACACTGCAAGGTGGTTAACAGTTGACTAGAAATGCCACTTGACTAACTAAGGAAGTCAAATGGTGCACTGGCCGAGTTAGTGAGGAACAGCTGGTTATCTGCTGCTCTTTATTCATATATAGACATTGACCGGGCGGTTAGCAAACAAAGCCAAACATACACAAACAAACACATCCACAACTATTCAGATCAATCTACACATACACAACATCAAATATTGAGCACTACAAAGGATAATGAGGCACAACTGTGTTATAAATAAATAACAAGAACAGGAAGTAGATCAGCTGAAGACCAAACTGCTAATCTAAATTAGTGGTGAATAACCACTGGCCAACCAATGTGACCATACAGCTGCCTGCACAAACGTAGCACTGAACTCCACTGTTTTGTGTTGCTGCACAACTTTGTACATACCACTCTATGTAACATAAGTCACCACTTTGAAAGTATCACTTTACATTTATGCCTAAACAATATAGTCAATTATTAATTGTGTGACACACAAAAGGGTTACATTTAGAGTGTTACTACTAAAAAAAATAGTAATTTCCACTGAGCAAAGCTAATCTGACTAACCTCTTGTTTGGGTTCCACGACCAGCCTTACTCTACTTTCTGTATACCATTTCAAGTATACCCACCCAGAGACATATTAGTTTGTTGCAAAACAAAGGAAAACAAGTGAAATGAATAGCAGAGAGCAGCGTCTGACCATGAACACAGCACTGTGTAGCCCATTAGAATGACATTGGGGATTAATGTTGAGATATTCCAAGGGTTATTTTTAGGATATTCCTGCATACTACACTTGTGTCTGTCACATAGCTAATATGTACATTTATTTTTATTTGGAATTGACACTTTTGACAATTCGTGAGCTACATTGTCTCAATAATGAAGCCTATAATTGGGTAGAGTGTCAACAGTAATGACATAATTGGTTCTCCTGAAGAAGACAGATGCCATAACAAGCATTGACTGGATACAGTCCTGAAACTCTAGCTGTAAATGTCTGGTTTTTCCACCTCAGCAGCAGTAGGACTGTGATATCTGATAACAGTCTCCAGATGTGGAGCGGCAATGTAAAAATGTAACGGATTAGCAACGTTTGGAAAACCTTATGAAAACGGTTTAAAAGTGACAGTCGATATACGTTTGTCCAAAGGCGTCAAAAAGATCGAAACTTACCTCGGCGCTGCCAAGAGCCACGGCCAGCAGCAGGAGAACGGCCACACTTCTCAACATCTGGACCAAACGGTGGAGAAAAAGCAGAAAGTAGGGCTTAGTTTAAGAAACAAAGAACATCCGTTGACACGTTTATAGGTGGGTAAAAACTTATGTTCGTCGTTACCATTGTGTTCAAGGCTGCCGCTGCTGCTGTTCCTGTGGGTAAAGTCTACTCGTGGATGGTGGGGCTGGTCTGAAAGGTTTGTCCGAGGCGAGTCGAGCAAAAGGTCCGTGATTTTAACAAGAAATTTGAGGAGCGCTAAGGAATTCGTGCCACTCAGTCAGCATCTCCTCCTCCTCCTTCTTCTCCCGTGTGCCTCCTCCTTCTCCTTTACACAGCACAGCCATGGCCAATGAAAACGCCAGGAATACTGAGAGGACGTTTACAAAGGAGTTTAGGAGGAGGGAGCTGCTAGAGAAAGTGAGTTCCTCCTGAGTTTGGGTGAAACGAAAAAAAAAAAAAAATCCATCTCAGACACAACAACTGACAAAAAACAAAAATAACGGTTTTGTGTTTACAGCTAAATCTGACGCAAATTACAGTTAAGCCAACTTTTAAAAGTTTACCATCACTCATTTCCACTTAAGTAAGTGGTCTCCAAAACGAGGGGCGAGTTCCGAAAATGGTTTGTCTACAAATTATTAGGCCACCTATGTTTTTCCTCAACAACATTATTAAGAGAACACAATAATTTCACAAAACTCTTTTGAATTAACATATAAATAGCGTTAACCCTTAAAAGAAGTTCATTTTTAATATATGACAACAATACGTGAACACTGATTTCTGAAGCATAAAAACGAAAATTAATTTTAATCATTCATTAACAAAAAATCACTTTCAGCCTGATGCAACCCAACATTGAATTTGATGACCAGTTGGTATCAAAACAAAATTTTAAATAGGTTATGAATTATATCAATTAAATATAACAAATGTTATATTCCATGTACTTCTGTTTTGATGGGTGTGTCTTTGACTCACATTGTCAAAAACGTCCAGATTTCACTGGTGTGAGAAACAGAATCTGACCACAGGGATTTTGTTGCACATCTCTGGCTGTAGCGGTGATATAATACTTCAGCTAGCTGTCCTGTCAGTGATCTACAACGCAATCCATGTTTCATCAAACCATGTCCTGTGCTAGCCGTGCCCTTCAATCAGCTGAACATCTACAGAAGCCCCATGCAGAAAGACCTTTACCCTTGTGTGCTGAAAGATTAATGTTCTCAGGATTTCAGTGGTGCAAGATTGGTGTGCATGCTCCTATGAGGAGCAATTAAAGAGTGATTAACATTAAGGGATCCAACATCGTAGCACACTGTATTCTGAGCAGGTGGAAGAGGATAAATGAATTTGGTCCCACTGCAAACCATCAATTTAACATGAGTTAATCTCTTCTGGGGACATGTATCTGTGGAGATGAATGCTGTGATTATTCAGACCTTTGTTGAATGTGTGTTTTATTTTAATATATAATTTGGTGTGTGTGTTTCTATGTATTTGTGTGGTGTTTCATATTCTACCAGCATCGACACTGAGTAACATTTAAAACTTGAGGTTTTTATTAAAAAGTAAATTTTTCAATATTTGCTTTACTGTTTTTTTCCCACACTGTCTCAATTGACCTTCAGTTCTCTTTGGGGTTCATTGGCATGCAGGACAGTTTGTTAAATAAGAGGAAATGGTTTGGGGTTTTTTCAGGCAGGAACAAAAAAATAATTCATATGCTGTGAAGCAAAACTGAAGATACCTAGGTGAAAAAAACTCTTTAGTATGTGCTGCAGGTACAGCGACTGAAATACCTTTCCTTGCTAAGGTGTAGTTGTATCACATGCATTAATTTCCTTGATGAAAGGTATTGCTCAGCCATGGGCAGAACAATCTCATGCTAAATAAATGGTTGGACTGAAAATGCAATTTTTACATAACTTTAGTGCAATGTAAAGCTTGAAATTGGTGGTTTATATATGGATGGCTCATAAACCAATCAAATACTTCAATACTTAGGTTACAAGAGATTGTATTACAATTACAAATTAAATATGTGTGATACGTTTAATTATTAGTTTCAATTTATTAAAATTAGACACATAATACATCACCCATAGAATCCACTCTACAATCCTAGGTTCGTGTCAGTCTTTTGATCTATTTTTCATATAGAATGAATTCGATTCACAGTGTATAGCACAATTACCTGATGGAGCAGGAAACTGCACTAATTGCACCCCCTGCAGGGCTGACACATTATAAGTAAAAATTGGTTTTTGTACTTGCCTTCATTTGAAGAGATTTAGGGAATAAATATAAATAAAATCAATAATGATAAAATAATGAAATCAATGTATATACAATTGAATATATAGACATGTTTACAGACGATGCAACAAGGTACTGTCAAATGCCCAGTTGTATGACTAGTTGTATGTTGTTGTACGGTCACTGAAACCCCACAAGAAGCATGAAGGTGTGGGAGGTGTGGAAGGTGTTTCATTGTAGAAAGCGTAAACCAGTGCCTGACGATACAGTGTGAACTAAGCTAGTTTTATTTCCCTTCATACAGGATCACTTCTGTATGGACGGAAAGCCATTGTCATTTTACAGTCCAATGGTGTGCTATGTTTCTTAAAAGTTTGTAATCAGACAGGTAGATACCATACAAAGAGACATTTGTGAATATGACATATTTTGTGTTTTTTTACACAACTCAAAATATAAATTAATAATGATTATTCAAATGAATAAATTAAATATTATTTTAGTTTTAAACTAAACCAGCAGGGTCTCTATTAATAGTTATGCCATTAAACACTGCTTATATCTAACTAAAAATAAATAAAAATAATTTATTAAATTAAACTTAAAAGCAGACACGCTGGGAACCAACTTGATTTCATCACCAAGGAAGTGTTCATGCAGTCATGTAAAGAGTGCATGAATACTTAATCAGACAAATTGTTTAATACATTTTTGCCCTAGCTGCAATGTCTCAACGCATTTAATACATGCTTCTTTTATCCATTCCATCAGCGTGAAAACTGGGTTCTGCTATGACTGATTGTGGAGGGGGAGGGGGGTGGGGGGTGGGGGGGGGGGGGGGGGGGGGGGGGGGGTTCATATGATTGAACCGTGCAGCATGGTTCAGCTGGAGAACAGAGCTTTAAGCTCCTCTGATGTCTCTCCTTGTTCTGCCAGGGGCTTTCTGAGAGGCAACTTTGCCGTAAGTCGGAACTCACATACTGTACAGCATGAATGTCACTCGCCTAACACAGGGCATGAACATATCAGAAGTGCCAACACCAATGAAAGAAAGCCAATGTAGCACAGTCCCATATATGGCGTACAACTAGAAATAAAACCATCTTCTACAAATAACACAGTGTGATGAAATATTTGTGGTCTTGGTCACATCCTCCTCTTACATTCACCTTCGAGGTTGTGAACTGATGAACCCTGTATTTAAAAATAAAACTTTTGGTCTACTGTAAAATGTCAATAAAAGGCTTAGTTGTTCCAGTCAAGTGAGATGTCACTGATTTTTGCAGTCCTGACTAATTGAAAGCAAAAGAGTAACAAAACCAAAACCAGTTACTGGGGCAGTTTAGTAAACATGACTGTAAAGAGGTGAGGTGGCTACTAAATACAACAAACATCCACTCTCACGGTAAAGAGCAGACGACTCCTGTCACTCCTTTGACGTAGGTTATCACAAAGTTGGTTGCAGAATTCACTGCAAGTGTAATAATTTGACCTGATTGGTCCCATTGAGATAAAAGATCTGTTTTCCAAGTGGGAGGTGGCAATAACACAATCATATAATTCAATTTACAATAGTTACAACAAATATGAATTTCAGCCAGTTCCTCTGACTGCAATTCTCTGGGTTTGACCTCATCATATACAGTACACTATGCACAGTGTGTTTCTTCATTTGGTTAGTGGTTTACATGTGAGGTAGGACTACAAACCTCTGTGCAGGTTGTGAATTAAAAACATCTGTCACTTTTGTCTTATTCTGCTGCAATTTCTTTGCAAGTTTACAATTTCCCAGTTGTGCATTTTGAAGAGACTGAAGGAGGAATAATGAGAGCTGTCAAAACAGGGCAATCAATGCCAATCACCCATGTGCTAGGACAGATGGCTTGGAGACGCTTGTGTCCGCAGTGGAAAATAAACAAGTCATTGTCAAAAGTATATAATCGATTAGAAGCACTGCTACGGTTCTGACAAGTTTTGTCAAGCTCTCATTCTCACTCTCTGGTGAATACAGACAAGAGAGCACCTTGACTGTGGTTAGTTCTTCTCAGCAATTGTTGTCTGACTGCTGGGAAAGTCAGAGCAGTTGCACACACACACAATAATGTGCAGTAGTTCTGTAAAGAAATGGACATGGTTTGTATTCTGTTAGATAACAATTTCAGTTTGTGAGTGAAGAAAGGTCATTTCATATGGTAAAGGAAATTTGCATAGTTCTAACAAGTAAAGGATCGTCATATTTGGTCATAATTTGTCTGGAGCAAATTTAGTTTTCAAAATAAATTGTGAACAAAGAAATCGTGAATCATAACCTTTGGTGAGCTAAATGCATCGTTACATCCCTATTTACTTTACTGTAGATTTGAAGATTACTGGGTCCCTGTTTTTTTTTCCTGGACACTAGTTTTCATTCTAAACTCACTCTTAAATGACCAAACGTATGAGTGTGAGAATTTGTGGCAAGAAATGATGGACAAGTAAACTGTCGAAGCTGTACCTCGTCTGATGAATCTCTTGTCTCCAGAGATTAATAAATTGATTAATTGTGATTAATTATGATCACAATTAAACCTCAGTCAACCTTATACGATTAAATGACTGATTCAAAGACTTAAATCAATAATTAGAGTTTAGACTACAGGGCTTAAACAAATATGACAAACACTGAAGCCAGACTTGACCCTGGTGTGTTTCTCCCAGTGCAGAGATGTTTCTGTGTACTGTGTAGTTGCTAAGACAAATCCAAATAAGTAACTCAATATACAGTTTCTGTAAAAATAACTTTCACTCCCACTAAGAGTAGAAGTGTACATTTTATGGTCTCTGATGTTGACACAAAATCTGTCTTCCTCTCTGACTACAGTTGTGTTGTATAAACATGGTTTGAAGTAACTAAAAAATAACCACTTCCTTTTCTCACTGACTCCTCCACATGAGACACATAAAATGTGACTGACACTCAGCGTTTGTCTCACTGTCATCATGTGTGTCATCAACACAACGCAAGCTATTCAGCTCTTGTACATCTGTCATGTCATTGCAGGTATGGTTTATTTATAATCTGTTATATATTGCAAAAATACTTTGTGTGTTTTTTTTTCTGAATCTTTATGTTTCTTTCTAGGTAAAAACAACGATGTGGTGGTGTCCAAAGGAGACTCTGTCACGTTCATCTGCAACAGAACTGCAGAAACGCCTTCGCAAATCAATTGGAGAACAAGTAGATGCTTCTTTTCTTATCTTAAACGAAACAATAATTTCACTACAAATTGTACCTCCGACAGAGTGAATATAACCTCTAACTCTCCCTCAGAGCTAAATATTCTAAATGTTCAGTATGAAGATACAGGAAACTATCAATGTGAAATAGTGTCCATTGAAGGTGTTCAAAGGTCTGAGTGGAATTTACTATTAAAACATGAAGGTAAGGGAAAATCAAGCAGGTGTATTACAGATGCAAACTGCCTGATAATGGAATTATTTAACTTTTTTTTTCAGAGTGGCCATCTTTTATTTACCCGGTAACAACCGTTTTGGTGGTCTTTCTTCTCAGTACCGTTGTGGCCATTTGCCTCTACAGGTAACATGTTAAAAAATGACTAAACAATGTGAGAGTAACATATGGTCCTAGATCTACAGGATTACAGAAATGTACAGCAAACATTTTTAAAGTGGCTAGCACTTAGTATGCCACGGTGAAAATGTTTAACTGTGGATTTCTACAGAAGACACAAGTCCAGGATCTCAAATCAGCACCAACCTTCACTCCAGTCAGGGTCACAGGTCAGTGGAACTTTATCACCTTTGTACTGGCCGACATTGCAATCTTAGGGGAAACCATTCAAGTCAATCACATATGTTTTCTTCTCTATAGGCGGCACCACCGCATACACAGACTGAAACAGACAGAGGGGGAAATGTCCAGAGGAGGAGTCAATATTTTGAGAGGCTCAACTCTATCTATGGACACTATTAAGCTCACAGAACAGACAAGCATTTTCTCTTTAAACTGACTCACATTTTAAAACAATAAAGCCAGTGTCTTTGCTTGCTGATGTGTCTGTTGATTTTTGGGACACTTTTTTTAAAGGTTTTGTACATGTTGGTGGACAAAAGATGTGAAAAACAAAGGCAAAATATAAATATATAAATGAAAAAGTAAAATTGAATATTGTAAACATTGCAAAAGAGTTAAATGTTAACCAAAAATAAATAAACCAAATAGTGTGACTGCATTGTTAAAACTTGTTAAAACGTCACATAATATTAGTTACATAAATAATCACCATTCAGCAGGGCAACCAAAATTCAAGGGTAAAGTTTGTCATAGGATATAGTCAAAATTAATGGTAAAGAGCCAATGGAAATATATATACATAAAAAATATGAACAATTATCAAAAGGCCAGAGAGATCCTCTTTAGAAAAACGTTTTTCACTAGATTGAAGGAATGTTTCTTTTAGAGAAGAGTAAAAAGTCAATTAAAAGTGCAACATATGGCCTTAAGGCCTGATTTACAGCATTAACATGTTTGAAATACACTGAGAAACAATCAGCATAAAACAGCATATTTGATGGTCTTACAAGTAGCTGCAGCGCCTGACCTTCTTTAGACCTTCAGCCAGCAGGAAGGACACAACACGTGGTTTAACTGTCATCAGTGTGGAAAAAAAAAGTTTCCTTCCGCAGAAAAAAAAAAGACTTCATTATGTTTCCTTATTTGAATTAGTAAAAGAAAAACAGTCAAATAGAAAAATTAGATGAGTATTTGACTTATGTGCTATAGAAAACTATATTTTTCAAATGCCCTGCTTCACTTCAATGTAGATTTGACAATGTTTAAATGTCTGAAATAATGTATGAATGTGTAAAACATACAAACGGATATTTGGAGATCAGTGGTAATACACAAATTTTATTTTTGTTTAAAATGAGATATTTTTAATATTCTTTTATTCTGTTATTTAGAATTACCTGCAACTTTAGAAAAGTCTGAAGACCAAAACAGTCTGTACAGTGGTACAGTATTAACTATCCATATCCCTCCTTGTAGGTTACAATACTTTCCTACTGATAATCTTTTCCACTAAGCAGGTGTTGGGGAGTAGTAGTGGGATTCTAGTCTGCCATACACTAGGTCCTGGTTTGGAATTTACATAACCAACACCTCCAAACTTCCCACACTGGTACTGCTGTGCCCTATACTGACTTCACTTGTGCCTCATTTGATTTAAATCATTACATTCACTTGCAGAGATGTACAAACATAACACAATAGAATATTCTTCTTGGTTGCCAAAAAAAAGCTAAGGAAATGTTTCTTGTGTGGGACTACCATCTTGTGGAATTACGTGGTTACTGCAGTTAATTGTATAACGTTTTCTTGTTTGTTTACCGTTAGACAAAACGTTGAGGCGTCTTTTTATTACTGATGCCTGTGGAACTACCTCAAAGGCAGGCTCAAGAATGACCTTTCTAACCATTCAATTTAATTTAATTTCAACTTATTCATTCCATATCCTTTATCTGTACAGTACTTTGTGCTACATTCATTGAGCAGGGTCTTCCCCGTCTCGTTTTATTTATCTATTTTATGGTCTGTATTGTCAATGTACCACGAGGATACAATGAAACTATGCTTCTGCTTTTGGTTAATCACCAAGGGGAGCTATGGGCAGCAGTTAGTAGTGATGTGCGGATCGATCCTGAAAATCGATACTTCCGATTCTGGATCTTTATACTCTGAAATCAATTCTGAAATCATAATATCGATACTTTTGATACTTACGCATTCTGAGATGAGGTGTATCCTAAACAGAAACATGGTGAAAAGTATCCAAATAATTAAAGACGCTATGATTTGAAATACACTTTTTTTTATTTAAAAGACAAATGATAAAATATCGGTATCGAATCAATCCGAATTTTACTCGGTATCGGATCGGAAAAGAAATTGGTGGTATCTAACATCACTAGCAGTTACGGATGTCATCAGAAAGAATGACGTCGTCCATGCGTATGTGCGTTGAATATTCTTTAAACTATTGTACCATACCAGTAAGCAAGGATGAATTCGAATCCGTCTGAGTACGACAGAAGTATTATTTTTTTATTATTATTTAGATTTGTTTCACATTCGTCGACGTTGCTATTTCGCTGGTCCTGCAGGTGGCTAACGCTAACGCTAGTTTTGTTGCTTAGCGAACAGACGCATGGTAAGAATTGAATTTGCTGTTTGTTGGTTGTACTAGTGTTGTAGCGTATTACTAGCATTTGTATGCACTTTATATGCAATGGCTGGATGGATTCGTAGAAAAACGTGGGCGGAATATACGACAATAAAAATAGTATAGAAGAGGAGAAATATATAGCATTGTTGATTTGAGCTCATGTACTGTAGAACTAAGATGGACGAAGCAGTTTTCTGTTTTTCTGAGAAAAACAGCCAAATAATATGCTTTTATTAAATAAAAGCATACAATAAATATAAGCACGTGGCCGAATTCAATTTTCATCAGAAATGCAAATTAATGTTAATAAAAATAAAATAGACAATAGACAAAACGCAGGAAATTATTAAAGATATGGTCAGAATTCATCCCAGAAACTTTACAGATGTAATGAAAAAATACTTAATATGCTGTAACTTTGTCCTCACTCCCCACAGGTCTGATTTTTACACTGCTACATATTTTTTATTAGAATTCTTTATCTCACAACTTTAAAGTACCCCTTAACTTAAATGCTAATTCTTGTGCTTCTGTTTTTTCCATGTGGAAAAATGTGGAAAAACTTGTGCTTCTGTTTTTTCCATGTGGAATTTTATTTGCAGCTAATAGAGTGACTGGAGGAGATCAGGTTGTTTTACAAGGAGGCAGTGCTACTTTTCCTTGTCAACTGGCGGCAACAACAGACACTATCACCCAAATCACATGGGATAGAATGACGAAAGAAAATCCAAATGGCAAAGGCTTTTACGTCATCCAGGCCAACAATGGAGGATATAATTATAAAATCCTTGATAACAGATTCACATTTATAGGAAACTTAAAAGGCCACAATGGATCTCTCACAATAGCGAATGCCACGCTGATGGATGAAGGGAATTACACGTGCATATTCACCCTTTACCCCAGTGGAAGTTTCCAGACTCAGATGAGTCTTGAAGTCAAAGGTTATAGCAACCAATTCATTTATGTTTTTTAGATGTGAAAATTCAGGATTGAGTTGTCCACATGTTTATATTCTTTGTGTAATTTCTCTCCAGTACCTCCAGTCACACTTGTCAAAGATGACTTCCCAGTTTTGTCAGAAGATGAAGCTCTTCTTGCTACCTGCCTGGCATTTGGTTCTAAGCCCGCAGCACAGGTGGAGTGGGACACGGGCAATCCTCCAGTAAGACTGAGGGCAACGACTAATTCAACCCTGCATGACAATGGTACAACAACAACAGTTTGTTACCTGTTCGGGACACCTATCATAGAAATCAACAATCACACCGTCCAGTGTGTCATTACCACTTCAGCTTTGTCTGAGAAGAAGACAATACCTTTCTCATTAAATGTTTACTGTAAGTATACATTTATTTTACCACCTAACTTATAAGAATTATAAGAATATTTCCTCTATTATTTTGAAAGTTGTTCACCATTCTGTACAAGACACTGACTTTCTCTTTAGAGCCATTTTGGTTGAAAGTCTGGGGATTTTTCACTTTGTTTTATTTTTGGAACTGGGCCTAACCTCCTGTTTCCAGCAAACATGCCTTCTGTTGGCTTTGTGCTGGTCAGACTCAAAAACTCCATTGGGCAAAACTTCCTTTTCACTTCCTTTTCTTTTCATTTTCATTTTGTAGTTTCCCCCAGGTATGTGAGCATCACAGAAGTGTCTGAAAACTCATTTAGCTGCAAGACTAATGCCAATCCAAGTGCCAACATCACCTGGACCAGGTACTGAGGTTTCAGCTCTGTTGTTTCAATTCATACTTACAGGTTTGTACCTATGAGGAAAAGCAACATAGCGTTTACTACGCTATGTTTGGCACAAGACATGGAACCTAAAACGTAACGACTCCATCTAAGAATTACACTGTAGATCTTTAAATTGAGGTAGAGCTGACAGAAACAAATTGAGTAAGCTGAGGACTCACGGTTTGTCTTGAGGAAAAGAGCAGTTCCCCCGTTAGAAATAAGGACGACACAATTTTCTTTTCCCAGTTTTTGGGAGTTCTACAAGCTCGTTATTATCACATCATCTAGACCTTTTCTTGTTTGGTGTTTGACAGCTGTAGTGTAATTGGTCAATAAAAATGCTTTACTCTGACTGTACTCTGAAGTGGTCGGACATACCTCCCCTCCCCTCACTTCCGTCCTCACCCCTGACAAATTGTTGCAACAAACATTCTCAACCTCAGCTTCAAACATGTTTCTGTCAATGTCCCACAATGCCTAGTGCTCGGGGGGGCGTGCTGTTGTCCTATCTAGACTCTACAGACTTCACACCATCTGTAGAAAACACATTTCCCATTTCTTTCTTCAGACTAGGACAGCCTTTGCCTGAGGTTGGTGTCAGGGTAAAAAATAACATCCTGCAGTTTACAACGATGGGGCCAGCAATTAATGGCTATTACCGTTGTGAAGCCTCCAACGTCCATGGACGAGAGCTGGCTGACCTGTTGATGCACGTTGTCCTAGGTGAGGCTTTGTTTTTGTTCTCTTGATAATGTTTTTTTTTTTTTTTTAAATCTTCATTAACAAATTTATATAATTAGAACACTGAACACATTAGGTTAGGATTTCTCTGTAACTTTCCATAAAGAGGAAACAGAGGTGTTGTAATTTAATGTTTAATTTTGGTGTAGTCAGGTGAAGTGAGGGACGGACATAACATAAGAGTGGAAGAAGATGCACACGGGTGGATTTTTCTAATGATATGTCATGTACAGCTAGTGACGTCTGAATGAGGTTTCCTTGATATGTTTTTCCAACCATTCTAAAGGAAGGTTTTAAAAACCGATTTTAACAGTCCCTTGTAGACAAACCCGTGTGTGTGTTTTGTATGATAATCACACATAACATCTGCATATCTGTTTCCTCTGTTACATGGTTTCTCTGCAGAACGCTACGTTAGCTGTTGGATTCTGTTCAGCATTTTACTTATACTGAATGTCCTCGTGGTTGTGCTGTGCTTCAAATATCCCAAAGTCCGTCAAAGGTATCAAAAAAGCCATACTACATGTGTTTCCTGGTGTGAAGTGCTTTCTTTCTTTTAGTTTATTTTGTTGTTTATTGTCCTAGGTTTGCAGACATCCTTCAAGGTCAGCGGGACACAACGACCTCGAGGCGTACAGCCCAGGAGGACGAAGTGGAAAGTTTGTAGTGTCTAGAGGCTTAAAGATACAATGGTGAACACAACACTGCTGCATCATGAATGCTAATCTAGT